TGTGTTGTGCTGTGCTATTCCCAATCTTTCATCTATATCAATATAATAAATAAAAAAATATTTATTTAATTTTTAAATAAAATTATTTTAAAATAATCAAGATAATGTAAATGTAAATAATTTAAAATTACTATAATAATAAATTATTTATCAAACAACTTTTTTTTTTCAATTTACTTTAAACATTAAAATTATATCAAATCACAATTTATTATTTTTTTACATGGAAAGAAACATTTGTCAATTATATTTTTTATTTTTTTAAATATCATATATCAAATATAACATATTATATATAGTCAATATTTATATTACATCATTTCAAACATTCTAAATACGAGAGAAATGTGTCACCTTAATACAATTTTTTCACAATGGATAAGGATTGGAAAAGACATAAAAATGTTATCAATAGATTCAATTATCTATATTAGGAAGTCAATTAATTATAATTAAGATCAACGTTTGATTGAATAGTTTTATATTAAAATGAGTTTTAGTTCATGAGTAAAAAACTTAATATTTATAATATATTTTAATTTAGTATTAGAAATATGTAAATTAAAATTACATTTATTTACTTTTAAAATGTATTTTGTATGACAAAATGATATTATTTATACTAAAAAATACTATAAATATATGATTTAATAAAAAAATATGAGAAAATTATAATTGGTGAAGCAATTTTTTTAATGAGAAACATACATCATTATTCCTTTTTTAATTCAAAACATCACCAAAATAATGTAAATTAATATTCAAAATTATTGGATCAAATTATCATTCTTTTTGTATGCGTAATTATTAAAATATGATTGAGATTACTGTATTTGTATATATTTTATATATATATATATATATCTTAGCCATCATTATATATTATTTTTATAAAGAGAAATAAATTATAAATATTTTTATAGACGATAAAAAAGTCAATTGTTACTACAGTTATTTTTATTAACGGAAATAAGTTATAAAAAAAATTTCATAAACTGGAAAAAGCCAAATATTGATACAATTATTTTTATAAACAAGACTAAGTTACAAACCGAAAAAAATTATTATTGATACAATTATTTTTATAAACAAGAATAAGTTACAAATATTTTTATTAATGGATACATAGGTTTTAAAAGTTTGCACGACTTTGTAAAACCATGATTTTGGAGTGGAGAGGACTCGTAGGCATTGCATCTTAAATTAATATTTATACGACAATCATAATTTAAGATATTTTTTCTTTTAATTCGTACATATTTTTATATAGATTTCATAACTATAATTGTATAATATTTATTTAATATTTATATCGACTTACGTGATCCGTACGAACGCGCAGGTAGATGACTACTTAATTATTTTCTAAGTAAAATATACATTTCTACTAGATTGACACTGCTTAATTTATATATCTTTTATATATATTTTTTAACCGTTACTATACTATATTTATTTATTATTTTTAATATATATATATATTAAAAATAATATTTACAACAACTCCATCGTATAATCATATTTTTTTACATAATTTTTATGTATATGTTTACAACAACTCCAAATTGATAATTAAATTAATATTTATATGACAATGATTATTGAAACTTTTTTTTAATTCGTATATATTTTTATAATATATTTCTTAATCTTAATTATATGATATTAATTTAATATTTATATCAACTTTGTGTGACTCGTACGAACACACGAGTCTTTTATTAATACTCATTAAAAAAAAAGAATTACCAAGGATCAACCAAATCAACCTATAATCTAATATATTAAATTTATCCACTTCTTCATTTGAAAATCATATATATTATTATCTCTATTTTTATTCTTCTATAAAAAAGAACAAATATACAATTTAAATGCATTTATAAGAAAGGGACCTCTTTATTTAGCAAAGTTGTTCTCAGCAGTAGATTTTTTTCTTCCATGAAGCGATTTAAACTATAGAGAAATGAACATATAAAATGAGCCTCTCTCTAATAATTGAGTTGTTTGATATTTTTTTCTTAAAAAAAGGTTTGTTATTTTTGGCATTTATTTTTATTATTATTATTATTTTTTTGGATTTTTGTTTCTAAGGAATGAGACCTTAATAATTAGAGTTTATGTGTATTCTTCAAATTTTCGTTATTTAATAGGAATTTGTTTACCATTAAAGTCCAAATATTTAATTATTTATTTTTATTATTATATTGTAGAAAAATTACACTCATCTTCCATAAGTTTCTTTAAAAGACACTAATACTCTATTTAATTTTAAAGTATACACTCACCTCTCTTAAAGAATATACATACTAACTGAAATTATTAATGACAAACTAAAAACCGTACCTATAATTTTTTGTTATAGCTAAAAATTTAAAGAAAATGCCAGCATGTTTTTAATAGATCTTAGTGCATATTTTAAAAATCATGTCTTTTTAAGAGATATCAAGGTGAGTGTAATTTCTCCTTATATCAAACAAAATACTTACTATTTTTGTGATTTTGAACTTTCACGCTAAATATGTCTTAAAAAATGATAAATTTTGCAGCTATTTTTTTTCTAATTATTATAATTATGATGTAAAATAAAAACAGCAGACTAGTGAGACTAAACAAAGATTAGTTGAGGTAAAGTCAAGTTCCAGGCCGAACAGATAAATTCCTGAGAAAAAATTGAAGTTTAGAATCTAAATCTGAAATGAGTAGGGTCATTTGGTTTTCGCTCTTCTTGTTACTGATCTCTCAAACCGATCAAGCTCAAAGCTCCTACGCTGGTTCAGCTAGTTCCATCATCAACCCTTCCAAAGTCAAACAGATTTCATGGAATCCAAGGTTTCTTTCTTTTTCTTTACTTCAATTAAAATTCTCCAAATCTTCCATCTAATTTTCTCATACTCAAAACTCATCTGTATATATTTTGCAGAGCCTTTGTTTATGAAGGTTTTCTCACGGACTTGGAATGCGATCACTTGATTTCTTTAGTGAGTCTATGTGCAAAATCCATAACTCTGTCACTTGCTCTTAATTATCGAATAATTTACCGTTGTTTATTTGTTTAGGCGAAATCGGAGCTCAAGAGATCCGCTGTTGCGGATAATCTTTCTGGAGATAGTCAGTTAAGTGATGTTCGGACAAGCTCTGGCATGTTCATTTCCAAAAACAAGGTTCCTTTATCTTCCTCTATTTTTTTTCTATTTAATAGATTTTTATTTATAAATGTTTTTTCTTTACTTTTTTTTTGTTTGTTTATTTATTTATTTATAGGATCCTATTATTTCTGGTATTGAGGACAAAATTTCTGCTTGGACCTTTCTTCCTAAAGGTACTTCATCATCTTCAAAACATTCATACCATTCATACTATCTCAAGAGAAAAATAAAAATAATAGATGTTTGAATTGTTTTGTAATAATTCAAATGTAAGATCTACATTACAATGAATACATGATCACTTTATATAGTGATCATGAACAACTTAACTAACGTGTAACAAAATTAACTAACTAATAATTACCTATAACCAAATATCACAACTAACATAACTAACTCCAACATATTAATAGAAGGCACATAAAGATGAAATGTAAGTTTCTCTATAGTAATGATCAGATAATCATGACGATGTTCAGTTGTTCGTTGTAATGGGAATACTAGCAATATTCAACTAGTAAGTGAAAGCGATAAAAATTTAAAATTATGTGACGAGTTTAATTGAAAAAATTAAAAGCTATCCTCATTAATTAGTGATGCATTGTTCAAGGATCAAAAAGGTAATCTATCCATTTCTGAATATGTAGTTTCTTTGCGCAAATCATCTTCATGCATCTATTGTGTAAACTGCCGTCAGTGATTGTAGAAAAGAATGAACGTGTATCCGAATGATTTGATCAGCTTAAATATGAAAATGGTTCCTACCTATGGTCAAGCAGTCAGGCTCTAATCAGTCTCCTTGTAATTTTTATGGTTGAATTTCAGAAAATGGGGAAGACATACAAGTATTGAGATACGAGCATGGACAGAAATATGACCCGCATTATGATTACTTTACTGATAAAGTTAATATAGTTCAGGGAGGACATCGTCTCGCGACTGTTCTCATGTATCTCACTAATGTGACCAAAGGCGGTGAAACTGTATTCCCAGAAGCCGAGGTTGGTATAGTATACTAGAAATTGATTTGTGTTTATCGTGAGAATTGAAAAAGGTTGCAGTTTTCTGCAGGGTATTGATAGTTTTAGAGAAGAAATTGTTTGGACTTTTATTGCCAATAGCTTATTTTGATAACTTATGATTTTACATTCGGCTTTACAGGAACCTCGACGTCGCAGGGGTTCTGAAAAAAGTAGTGACCTCTCTGAGTGTGCCAAAAAAGGAATAGCAGGTGGGCAATTTGATAAAAAAATACTTTTGTTATGGGTTTCCTCTATTATTATACTTTAATGTAAAGTTTTTGCTGGTCATCTTATGCTAAATGGTTGCCGTTTTCCTCTTATTATTACCCGGCATTGCATAGTGAAACCACGCCGAGGGGATGCACTTCTTTTCTTCAGTCTTGACACACATGCTAGCCCGGATACTAACAGTCTCCATGCCGGATGCCCAGTACTTGAAGGGGAGAAATGGTCAGCGACAAAGTGGATTCATGTAGACTCGTTTGATAAGATTGTAGGCACTGGAGGGGGATGCTCCGATCAGCATGATAGCTGTGTGAGATGGGCTTCCCTTGGAGAATGCACTAACAATCCTGTGTATATGGTTGGATCTTCAGACCTTCCTGGATACTGTAGGAAGAGCTGTAACGCATGCTAGAATTTTTACCGAGTGCTCTCTGGATTCTACCCTCTGTATCGAAGATTTGTATGAATGGTGTAATTCAATATAATATTTTTCATAAATTACTCAACAATGTTACTATTATTGTTCCAATAGAATAGCTATTCATATTGCATTATTGTTGATAAAATTACATATAGCAGAGTCTTGTGCTGGTTGTAACCACTCTTAAACATGTAGTTGAGCACCGTTTTCTTTGCTAGGCTTATCATCATGAGGATGACTCCACTGTCTCTTCTGTGCTTTAAAGCTTGCCACCTTAGCTGACTGATACTGATCACCAAGCTTGTTTGCATACAAATCATAATAAGCATTTTCCTCCACATTGCTTAATATTTTGACTAACTTTCCTTTTTTCTCATCCACCACTATTTTTCCATCTGTGGATTCATTGCCACTAGCTAAGACTTTAATGGACTTCACCTCAAATTTTGTCTTCGGAGTTGAAGCCTTTTCAGCCAAGACAACTGCACCTAGAATTTCTCCCAGGAATGTGTCCTGCAAAACAAAGGGCTTAAATAACAGAAACAATGTAGAAAATCCATAAACAACTTAAACTTAAGTTGGTTACTCTCCTAAGATTGGGCTTGAAAAAATAGTTATGAATAGAAACTTATACCATATGGTGGTATCTGTGATTGATTTTCTTCAAACGGTGTAGGCTTGACAATAGATGCTTTGTAAACACAGCCTCTGGTGTTCTTCTAGTCCCACGCAACTTTTTTCTCACTGTTGCAAACGAACTCACTCTGCGCTGAGTACTGAGTGGAATGAGTGTGATGTCAACTTCTGATTCGAACACTGTTTTGGCCGCATAAGGATCTAAGAACATGTTGAATTCGGCATATTGGTTTAAAGGAACTGAAAACACATTTCCTTTGTCTTCTGCGTTACTGCTTATGTGTCCCCCCATTACATAGACCTCCTGTAACATTTTCAAATTTTGTAATCAACTATGTTTCTGCTATTACACTAACAGAAAACTATATTTAGATAGAATGATCGATGGTAACAAATATTATACTAATGCTTACCTGAATTCTAGAGCTTATGTTTTTCATTGAAACAACCTTTGCCAAATTAGTCAAGGGTCCATTGGTTAATACTGTAACATTGGTCCCTTGTTTCAATGTTTGCAAGACAGACTCCCAAACTTCCATAGCTAATGGTTGTCTAAGTTCAGGGTGATCCGTATCACGTGGGGCTCCAAACTTCACCGAGTTTTCTCCTGTATATCTGCAATAGTTCTTAGTGTATTAGTCCGTTGCTGGTAAGGTAACAAATAATGGAGTTTTCATGCAAACACGATATTTCAAAGTTACATTACGGCCACTGAATAACTTATGATGCATCATAATGCTAGTTGAAGAGCAATACTAAGACATGGAAGTTACTAAAAAGCACCTTCTTGGGCTGTGTGGAAGATAACGAGCGAGACCATAAAGAGTGTCAGAATCCAAAAACCCGCCACTCCCATGAGGAATGGCTTTAACATACTTGCATTCTCCAACGGCTGAGATCACCGGATCTGTCTGATTCAGTGCAAAAACATCTCCTCGACCAACCGGTATATCATCACGACCCATCATGTGAAGTATGTCATAAACTATGTCTATAGTTGCTGCATTTGCCCATCCAGTAGGACTCACAATGATTGCCTAAAACCAAAGTTACAACTATATTAGTATGTCTCTGAGGGAATTTGATCTCGATTCCTTTAACGTTACAAGGTCAATATTTTACCACCGAACTAGCAACTCATGGACAATACTACAATAGTATTTGATTTTATGTAAAACAGGTAATCGAAAGAAAAATCAGAATACCTTAAGGTCGATTACTTGAACAGGAACTTTAAGGAGATAAAAAAGAGCTAGAAAATCTCCTGCACTCATGTCCATGTCAAACACAACTGGTTTTCCCAATGTTTTGTTACTAAAATCTGGCTTGTAAGTTACTTCTTTGTAGTAGGGAAATTGTGTAGTGAAGTTGTATCTCCCTGCTTGTTTTGGCTGCTTCAGAACCTTTGATCCACCAAAAAAACAAAAGTCAAATCCATTGTAAGTATGTGTTTTCCCTTCTAAAGTACTATAAGTGATTAATTTAAAAGCTTTGAAATATATACCCAAAAAACAATTGTACTTACATTTAAGAAGTTTATGAAATATTCTCTGTCAAGTGAACTCTTAACATCTCGGTTAGGCTTTGCTTTTGTAGCAACAAGTACTCTTACTGAGTCTGGACCATTTTCCTCTTTTGTATATCCATCCTATAAAACATGTTGCATTACATAACATGTTAAACATTCATTGCTAGAAAAATGAAATATGTCTCTAATTATCTCGTTATTAAATTTAACGAAGTAATTAGAGACATATTTTATATTTTCAGCGAATGAAATCGACAACTTAAAAAGTAAAAAACAACTACCTGACATTTTCCTTTGCCATTCTTCACAAAGCAAAGAGGATCTCTGAGTCCTTGTTGAATATGACCACTATGAACCCCGTCTTTTTGAATATTGAACTTGGGAACTTTTAGGCCATCAATGAGTGGATTGGATCCATCAGATATACCATATGGTTTATTTGAAGTGACTACTGTTATGTTCATATATTCCATTTCAGCAAATTCATTTTCTCCATTATAGTTATTGGGTTTACTCATGATTGAGATGGCCACTCCAGCCATGAAAGAGTCCCACATAAAATAACTCTGTTAACAATCAATCAGTCATTTTTAAAAACATCAGTTCCTTTGTATTCCGTCAAACATGAAACACTTGTAAGAGTTTCATGTTTTACGGATACGTAACAACATAACGGAATGACAGGTATAAGCTCATTAAGAGAATTACCGTATAGAATTGGTCGTCGAACCAAGTATCACGAGATATTTTCAAGGATTTGAAACAGTACTGTGCCTCGTACGTGTCTTGACTCTTTTCAAACGTGTCAAAGAATTGTTCAGTGATTGGGATTGTGTTTGATGCATCAAGAGGAACAAGAGTGATAGGAATTCCAGAATGAATCACCTATATAAAACAATATTTACTTCTTGTCACAAACAAACATCTTGTAACAAACAAAGAATGTGTATTGTATTATTACATGGTAAGCTGCAAAAGGGTCTCCAAAGATATTGAATTCTGCATAAGGGTTAGTATTATAATCTGTAAACATATTTCCATGATCACCACACTGTCGAGGCACGCACGAAGACGAAGCGTTCTTCGGGCAACAACCGGTTGGATTACTTGACCTTACACCTCCACCCATTATATAAATATGTTCCACATTTTTCTTCAAGTGTGGATTATTCATTAAGAAAATTCCGATATTTGTATGTGCTCCCATCATAAGCAGAGTTGTTGGACCTGCTGATACTTTTTCAATCAACACTTGTTGAGCAGTTGGTTGCTGCAATGGTGTATATTTCCTTTTTCCCTGATATCATGACCAAATTAGTAACTAGGATATACTATATAATTAAGGTTTAATTAACACTTGAACTACATTATGGAAGGATCAAATTATACACCTGTGGTAGGAAAGCTTTTCTGATACCGTAATTTGAATCGATATCTAAGCGTCCTCCGAGTCCGACAGGAATGGCTTGTCTGTATCTGCAACTCCCAGCTGTTGTCATTCCCTGATTCAATTCAGTCAAGTGGCATGTTAGAAAGATGTGTGGGGTAGCTCAACTGATATTTACTAGTTGGACTAAATAGTGCGAGCTATTGGTCCAGAGTTCAATCTCTGGCGTAATATACTAATGTAAACAAGTTGTTATATTTATAAATCAAGTTTATTACTTCTAAAAGGGTGATTTAAATGAGGAAATAAATTGTGACCTGATCTATAATTGAAAGATATCCACCAACATTTGGGAGTATGGTCCCATTAGGGAGCATTCCACCCTCACCTCCAACACCAACAGAAACATCATCTCTTCCCATCATGTAAAGCAAGTCATAAACTTGGTTCACAGCATGCCCACCATTAGTCCAGCTATTTGCACTAATGGTCACAGCCTGCATTAATATACAATTTCAACTAAATTAATATAAAATACAACAAAATTCTATTAATATGAAACATTTTATTGAATAAACTATTTTACAATTTAAAGGTGTAAGGCAATTTGTTTTTGTGGCCACCATTTGAATCTTTGAAATTCAAGGATTTAGAATATACTGTGTCAATGTTACTACATCATGGATGATTATAATATATATGTGCTCTGTTCTAACCAATATTATCTACATTTACATGATTCTCAATTCTTGTTTGATTAATAAATTTCAAAAAATTGTTTACAATAATAAATAAATATATCAGGGATTGAATCCTACACCAATTTACACTCCTTTAATTCAATAAACACATATAAGTTGAGCTACCACACCTATACTATTTTTTATTTATGTTAAAAGTGAATATAATAATATATAAACGATATACTTTAGCAAAAAATATATTTTTCTTATATTTTATTTATACTTTTTTTTTAATATGCATAAATTTGTCATTTAAGTTAGTAGTTATTTTGGAAAGAGTAATATGCCTTTGAACTGTTACTTTTTTATACTGTTAACTTATTTAATAAATGATTAGACCGTAAATTTAACCGGTTAAACTAAATGAATCTTGAACTGAAAATCTTATCGATTTGATATTCGATTCGATTTTTAAAATATTGATTTCAATATCATTATTAATTTTTTCCCTATGTTTTAAAAACTGTACGAATCATTAAGCCAATGTAAATATTAGGTCATTAATTAATTAATCGAACTAGTAAGTCATAGATCGAACTGTATAATTAAATCAAATAATTTAGTTTAATTTTTATAATAAAATTATATAATTATTAAACCGATTGAATCAAATGATTATGTCTCTATAAAAATGATGTCATCTATAAAATTTTAAAATTATATATTTAAATTCAAATTCTAAAAAAAATTAAATAAATTTTAAATAAAGTTTAATTGTAATATAAATTGAATAAAAAATAAATGTATTGTCTAATAAATTTAATTTCAATAAAGAAAAATTGTTTTAAATAAATTTTGAATAAAATTTAGTTATATTTTAATTTTTTTAATTATTAAAACGTTATCATTTTGTCTAAGGAAAAAAAACAAATATTTATTCGTCGATTTTCTAAAAGCGTCAATTGTTGATATTTATCAGTTTTGATCGTTCTGACATATTTCCGCTAGTTTAATAGCTTACATAATTCAACAATCAAATCAAATATGTGACTTTTTTAATTCTCGATTCCACCGATTCAATTTACTAATTTAATTCAATTTTTAAAATATTGATTTCTTTATTAAACAACAGAAATTAAAATAAAAATATAAAATTAAAAAAGAAGATAAGAATATATGGTAAAATTCTTTCTAAAAATATTTAACACTTCTGTCATTTTGATTTTATGACTAAGTCTGAACCAAAATCTTCAAAGAAATCTTTTTCCATCTTATTCAAAATCAAATACTTTACACTTAAAAACTTCTTTAATTATTTACAAATTTAAGAAAGTTAAAAAGTTAAGGCTGTTTTGTAATTTAAATAAATTATTTAAAAAATCACCAATTTATAAAAGACTTTAAAACTAATATCATTCATCCACCTTTTCATTTTTTAATACAATAATCTATATTATTTAATTTATATTGTTAATAATATTTTTAAATCATTATATTCTAGAAACCTCTTAAATTATTTACTAGTTTAAAAAACTCAAAAAGTTAAGATTTTTTATTTAAATAAATTACTTAAAAATCACCAATTTATAAAATACTTTTAAATAAATACCAATTATCCACTTTTCAATTTTCAATACAATATATATTATTTTGTAAAAAAAAAATACAATATTAGTTATATTATTAAATTATTACTATTTGTATTATTTTTAAGTCAATATATACTACTTGCATTTCTAGTAGTGGTTAAATATTTGATTAAAACAATATTTTAAAGTACTATTATCAATATTTTTATAGATATTTTTAATATTTATAAATTGATTATTTATTTCGAGATGAAGACAAGATCTAAATTTTTTGAAAACGACGTATATAAAAATTATACAAAATTGACATTTAATAAAAAGGACGAATAACATTACTGTTGGTCAAAGAATAACAAAATGAAAAGAGAAAAATGAATTAATTTATAATTTAGTAATGATTGACGTTGAAGAATTTGATAGTAAAAATTATTTCATCGATTTCCTATAATTGTGATTGATAAAAGATTAAAACTACTTGATTACAGAATTGATTCTGAATCTAGTTTAAGTGGTGGTGATAAAAAAAAGTAAAATTTAATTGTTCATATTTGAAGTACATACCTCGAATTGAAACTGTGAAGTGTTGACTTTCAAGAGGTAAAGCATAGCAAACAAATCATCAGTATCAACATCTGTATCAACAACAATTCGACGAGGTTTTCCCTCTGCTCCAATCAAACTTGCTGTTATTATCAACAGCAACACTGCTGCAACTACCCTTGGCGGAAGCATTATTCTCCTCCCACAACCGCCGCGGTTCTTCAACTACTTTATGATGTTATCTTGGAATGGTTGCTTTTGCTTTGACAATTTTTTATAATATCATGTTATGATATCTATACCGCTATTTATATTTAACATCACTTCCACTTTCTTCCTAAACCAACCCCAAACAAACTTTGCTGACGCGATAACAGAAAATACTGCTCACAAGTTTTGACCTTTGATTAAATAAGGGAAATGCCAAGCAAATATACCATTCAACCACAACAACACAATAGATTATTAGTTAATAAACTTTAATTTGATTTGATATAACTTTATATAGTTTAATTTGAATTGATTTTTAAATATAATCTATAATATATTAATATAAAATTAATATATGATATATATTATATTAAATATTAATATTATAAAATAAGAATAATTAATTACGATTGAAATACATACAATAATAAAAATAAAATATTTAATTTTCTTGTGTTGATTTTCAATTTTTGATTAATTTACAATTTTTATTTATGAATTGGTGATTGTCACACACGAAGGCGTAGCAATGCGGGCGCTGCTCAGCACTAGAATAGATTATGGACAATGTCGGTGCGCGAAAGCGCTAGGAGGGTCAGCGATCAACGGGAGGTATGTCAGTGTTTTCTGGTTTACTTTTCAGTTTGGAGAGTTTTGAGTAATTTTGAATTCAGTGATTTTTCGTTACCTTTTTGATAAGTTTAAGAGTCAGATTTGTTACGTGAAAGTTTGATAGAGTTGTTATATAGTTTTTTTTATTGTTTAGAGTTGTTTTAGAGGTCGCATGTGAACTCCGAAATGTTTCAAGTTGACTCTATTAATTCTGTAAAAGGTTGTGGAATTATTATTTTTACCATGTTGGTGGGCTTACATAAGTAATAATTTGGTTACTCTATTGATGAGTGCTATCTAGATTTTAAGCTTTATCAAATGGATGTTAAATATATTTTTCTTAACGACTATATAAATAAATAAGTCTATGTCTCTCAACCTCCTAGTTTTGAGGATCATAAAAATCCTAACTATGTTTTTAAACTCAAAAGAGTCCTTTATAGTCTCAAACAAGCTCATGAAGCTTGGTATGAGCGATTGAGTGGATTTTTAATCAAACAAGGATTTAATCATTGTAAAGTAAACACCCCTTTATTTATTAGATGCAAAACAAAGTATATTATTTTTGTTCAATATATATATATATATATATATATATATATATATATATATATATATATATATATATATATATATATATATATTATTTTCGGTTCTACTAATGAACCTCTTTGTCGATAGTTTGCAAGTTTGATGCAGGGCGACTTTGAGATGTCTCTCATGGGAGAGCTTACATATTTCTTAGGATTGTAAACCAAGAAAGCCGAAGGATGAAATTTTATAAATCAAACAAAATACTGCTTGGAGCTTCTCAAGAAGTTCGTTATGAAATATTTGAGAAGTATCTCAATGTCAGTGGCTTCAAATGTGCTGATTGACAAAGACGAGAATGCAGTGGATTTTGAGATCACCAGGTGTGATATGGTGGCAGAACCGACTGTTATATACTGGTTTTGCATTTTGTATTCACAAATGTTGCGGTAAGCAAGAGTCGCCACCGTCTTTTCTTTTATCCAAATTAATGAAAGGGTGAAAAGAATAGAAAAAGAAATTTTCGAGAGTTTTCTGAGTAAGGGGGTAGATTATGGAAAGGGAAGGTGTTAACACCCTTTCCATCTGTGGTTTTCCACGGGCTCTTAGAGGTTTGCTCATTTTGAAATACCTTTGTGCTTTGTGTGTTTGAAAATGTATTGAAAAAAACGACTTAGTATGGTGAACTTTGTAATGTTTCTCGGGATAGTAGAGAAAGTATACAAAGTGTTTTGGAATTGTTTTTGAAAAGTAGTTTTTTGTGTAAGTGCAAAATGTTTGAGCAAACTTCTAACAACTATCTACTTTATTACTCGAAAAGGGTCGTTCTTTTCCTCTTTTCCTTTAGACAATGCTATCCTACTATTAGTGAGTAGGTAGCCTTATCGTTGGATGTTAAGGGACAATCGAAGGGACGTTACAGTCGCGAAGGCAATTTATGGAGATCCTTTAGCAATTCTGTTTTAGGGACTAGATCATTTATCGAGAAGGAAACTGTAGGTTCATCGAGAGACTATGATCTTTTGATTTTACGGGTCTTTGCTAAAGCATTCCTGCCTCATGACTGTTTTTTAAAAAAGGCAACCAAATTGGGATACCCTAGAGGTGCTTGTGTGCAATTGTGTTATGTTCAGCTATTTCTGTCTTTTTTGTTAAGTTTGCTAAAATTTGATTTCAGTCTTTGTCATACATGTCTAGTTACTAGCAGTTAATAAGAAAAGCAGTAAAAAAATGCAGAAAATAGAGGTCCTACGCTATTACAATGCTTCGGGGAGGGGATTTACATTATACAAGAATAAAGGGGGGATAAAGCAATAAATATCCTAATTTTAATCTATTACATCCGGTAGGCTGATACAATAATAGTAAAAATACATAATTAAATAAACGCGCATGAAATAGAAAAGACGTCTAAAAATCCTAAAGAAAAGAAATCTTTTTGTTATTTTTGGTATAAAAGAAAATAAAGCCTAAGTCTATTTAACTTTAATTTTAAGAAAAAGATGTTAAAATAATAATTAATTTGTTTACAAAATTAACTTAATTAGAAAAAATATTAGACTAATGTCTTTTTTGTGATTTTGATTTGCTGTGTCATTTTTAAAGTAGAAAATCATTAAGAGAAAATAATCAAAGACAAAAAGGTAAAAAAAACACAAGGAAAGTTTTTTCGATCCAGGGAAGAAGATTCCCTTTGATCCAGGAAGGAGACGTCCTTCGATCCAGGAAGGAATCGTCTTTCGATCCAGGAAGGAGGTGCCTCCTTCGATCCAGCAGGCTAATGGGCAGCTTCGATCCAGAGAAGGTGTCTCCTTCGATATGGGATGTTATACCTGCAAAAGTATGTTAGCTAAATAAAACACATGACCTGGGTATCGAAACCCAGGTCCTTCGATCCTGCGCTCGCTGGGTCTTTTCAGGCTATATCTGCAGCAAGTGCTAACAAATAAAGAACATGACTTGGGTGCCAAACCCAAGCCCTTTGATTCTGTCTAGGATGACAAGTCGAATGGAACAATAAATATGGATGTGTTATGCAAATACAAAGTTAGACAATTTACCCTCTCTTACCAGTAGATTGAACCTTCGATTTGGGCACTATCTGGATGTGAGCACCTTCGATCTGGAACTTCTGGGCTTGGATACTTTTATTGAAGGGTGGCTTTGGCTTGGAAAATTCTGACAACCTTTGATAGATTTTGTGGGCAGCGTCTCTCCAATCTTTTTCGTCCTCCCTCCTCTTTTTTGATGCAACACTTGTGATCTCTTTATATAGAGGGGGTAGAGGGGAAAAGAAGGCAAATGTTTAAACAACCTTGATTATGTGTTTGAAAGCCATGAATGATAATTTGTAACATTGGCCAAACACATAGGATCTTGTCCCTTTTTTTTAATTTGGCATAAAATGTAACTGGCCTTCGAATGCTCTCTTTCGAATGGGTTGATGGCCTCCTTCGAATGGCCCTGATTCAGATCCTTCGAACGGCTCTGATGAAGCTCTTTCGATTGACTATGATTCATTTATTTTGAATGGTTCTGATTCAGTTCCTTCGAATGTCACTTGTTCAAATACCAATCGAAGGGTATTTATTGAAATGTCAATCGGAGAGTCCTTTGCTACGCCAATCCAAAGATCTTGTCCATGCCAATCGAAGGACACGGTTAACACGCATGTCGAAACTTCCTTGACACAAATCCAAATCGAAGGATCCCTTGCCATGCCAATCAAAAGGCTTGGCCCAGGGTTCCAAACGAAAGGGTCTTTCAGAATGCCAATCGAAGGCCTTGACACAATGCCAATCGAAAGGCTTGTCATGTGGCCAATCGAAAGGCCTTGTATCCATGCCAGTTGAAGGGCTTGACCACAATTCCAATCGAAGCATTTGGAATGTCAATCGAAAGGCTTTGGTGAAATGCTAATCGAAGGATCTTGTTACCAGGCCAATTAAAAGACTTTGTTGAAATGCCAATCGAAGGGCATTTTGGAGATGCCAATCGAAGGAAACTTAAAAACATCACTCACAAATTTTCCTTTTCTTTAGGCAAGGGTTTGTGACCAACCATGTAGGGGGAGACATTGGAAAACATGAGAGGGCAAATTTTGGGGTATAACAATTGCCCCTGTTTAATCTTCTTAAACCTGAGGACGTAGATTGGCTTGTCTGCATTTCGTGATCTGAAGGTGGAAGATGATTGAACACTAGAGTGCCCAAAAATTTGCACTCGTCTAAAGTGATATTATTGGTGAATAATACCGGGAATGGACTTACAGATGCCATTTGGAAAAGGTGAAAGGAGACTGTCAGAGATGAGCTTAAAGATGCCATCCACGGAACATGACGGAGAGTCGTTAGAGATGGGCTTAAAGATGCCATCCAGATGAATGTTGATTTCATGGGATATTTCTTTGTGGGAATTCCTGATCTTGCTGTTAGAGAGGACTCCACTGAGGAATGTTGGTCTCTGTCTTGGTCATAGAGTTTTAGGAGCTTTAGTTGTCCATTACTCTACTGGAGAGTCATCATTTGATTGAAGAGACGAAAGTGAACTGCTATCTGGTCAAGATCCAGGCTTTACAGTGTCTTGCTAAGGATAATAAGGCTAACTGTTATCTGGTAGTGCTCCAGGCTTCACATCTACTTACTAGGGAAATGAGATTAAACTATTATCTTATCGTACCCAGGCTTTGTAGTTTGAAGAAATTAAGCTATTATCTGGTCGGGTCCAGGATTCAACTTGAATTTGAGGTGTACCGTTATCTAGTCGTATCTAGGCTTCGGTAATTTGAAGAAATTAAGTTGTTATCTGGTCGGGTCCAGGATTCAACTTGAATATGAGGT